TGCGGATATGGACAGTTACCTTGCTGTCATGAAGGAACAATCTCCAGACCGAGCCTTCTTCGCCTCTATTCTCAACATCCACAACAATCGTTTCGAGATTGCCGTCGAGGAAATCGCCAAAGCTCGCAAAGGTTTGGACACGGAACTCAGCTCGCTGCTCGGAGAGTCATACCAGCGTGCTTACCTGCCCATGATTCGTGTTCAGATGTTGGCTGAACTCGAGGAGATCATGCTGTACAAGCAAAACGAGAAAAACGTCGACAAGCAGAAGAGCATGCGGAAGACTTGGATGAAGCGGCTCAAGGGGCTTCAGCCTAACCCAGAGGTTTGGCAGCGCATGATCAAGGTCCGGCAGCTTGTGATAACACCACACGAAGGCACAGATATGTGGATCAAGTACACCAACCTGTGCCGAAAAAATAACCGCATGAATCTCGCCAACAAGGCGCTGCAGAAACTTCTGGATATAGAAGGATCAGGCGAGAGTAGGGTCGTCGAATACGTCCGCGAAAACGCGGCGAAGATTCCGCACCCAGTCGCATACGCAACGTACAAATACATGTGGGCCGATCAACACTTCAAGCAGGAAGCGCTGGACAGTATGAAGGACTTCACCGGGCGACTTTCGGAAGATCTCGCCATGAAGACTAGAGCTGCTGCGAACCCGATGATGACGCAGAATGGCGTCAACGGTATGTCCAATGGCCAGCACATGTTCAACAACATGAATCCTTTTGCTGTGGCCAATGGACACAACGGCTCCAATGGTATGAATGGAAGTATGCTAAGTGGATCAACCATAGGTGTCTCTCCCTCCGAGCTCGCCGAGTCCCATCGTCTCCTCGCCAAGTGCTATCTCAAACAGGGCGACTGGCAGCAAGAACTTCAGGATGGAGAGTGGGAGCACGAGTTCGTACACGAGATCTTGTCAGCGTACGCGGCCGCTACGCGGTACAATCACAACTGGTACAAGGCGTGGCATGCTTGGGCGCTGGCCAACTTTGAAGTCATCAACTCGATTACGGCAAAGACGGACAGGGAGGGTACAGATGTGCCTTCGAACATGGTGCACGACCATGTTGTGCCGGCCATCACCGGCTTCTTCAAGTCGATTGCCTTGTCGTCTACTAGTTCACTTCAGGACACTCTGAGGCTGCTTACACTATGGTTCAGCCACGGTGGACTACCAGAGGTCAATCGTACAATCAGCGAAGGGACAAAGTCTGTTCCCATTGATACATGGCTGGAAGTCATTCCGCAACTGTTGGCTCGAATCAACCAGCCAAATCCGACGGTCCGACAGTCTATCCACCAGCTCCTCATCGAGGTTGGCAAAGCCCATCCCCAAGCACTAGTCTTCCCATTGACTGTGTCAATGAAGTCGGATGTTACGCGACGTTCACGATCTGCCAAGGAGCTTATGGAAGCCATGCGCGAGCACTCACCCAAGCTCGTCGAGCAAGCCGACCTTGTCAGCCACGAGTTGATCCGTATCGCGGTACTCTGGCACGAACAGTGGCATGAGGGTCTCGAGGAAGCCAGTCGTCTGTACTTTGGCGACCACAATATCGACGGTATGTTCGCCACACTCGCACCGCTCCATGCCATGCTCGACAAGGGCCCGGAAACATTGCGGGAGATTTCGTTTATCCAATCCTTTGGCCGTGAACTCCAGGAGGCTAGGGACTGGTGCAATACCTTCCGGACGTCACAAGAGATTGGCGACTTGAACCAGGCTTGGGATCTATACTATCAGGTCTTCCGCAAGATTGCGAGACAGTTGCCGTCGCTCATGACGCTCGAGCTGCAGTACGTCTCGCCTAAGTTGAAGGAGGCGCATGACCTTGAGCTTGCTGTTCCTGGAACGTATCAAGTTGGCAAGCCAGTCATTCGGATCATGTCTTTTGATCCGGTGGCGACCGTCATCCAATCCAAACAGCGACCTAGGAAACTGGAGATGCGTGGCAGCGACGGAAAAGCACACACGCACATTCTCAAGGGCCATGAAGATATCCGTCAGGACGAACGCGTCATGCAACTCTTTGGCCTCTGCAACACGCTCCTCTCTAACGATGTCGAGTCTCGCAAGCGCCATCTCAATATTCAACGCTATGCCGCCGTGCCGCTTAGTACGCAGTCCGGTCTCCTCGGCTTTGTACCCAACAGCGACACGCTCCATGTTCTCATTCGCGAGTACCGCGACAGCAGGAAGATTCTCCTCAACATTGAACATCGCATCATGCTTCAAATGGCACCTGACTATGACTGCCTCACGCTCATGCAAAAAGTCGAGGTCTTTGGGTATGCGCTGGACAATACGACCGGCCAGGACCTGTACCGCGTCCTCTGGCTCAAGTCCAAATCCTCGGAAGCCTGGCTCGAACGTCGAAAAAACTACACGCGCTCGCTGGCCGTCATGTCCAT